GTGTCAATATTGTCTTTCATGAGTCCTCCATTGTTTTTTGACTTTTTCGAAAACAAGCTAAAAAGTTATATCTAAGTTTCGTCTAACGAACTTTCTCGATCGTAACATTTTATTCGTTACAAGTCCGTTGCTCAAGAAGCTTGACTACGGGCAATTAACTTCTACGAGCGAATGAAATTTGAGCTATGTTTTTATCTTTGTACATATTGAGAGAGATGAAACGATTAGTGAAAGACGAAGAAAAGATGAGTGGTCAGAGCATTTGAAGAAATTTATGACGTATACCTGGAGAGAGAAGTTTACGTGCAAAAACTAGGTTTAAAAATATACGACTTCGATTAAGAGGGAAAAAGAAAAAGAATGGTAAAACGACGAGGATAATCGCAAATGGTTTGTTTTCGTGAAAGCAAGAACGAAAGTTGAAATATATCGTGCCTCGTCTTTTTCGAACGATCGATCGTGGGCAATGCGTTGGTCAAATCTGATACTTGAACGACCGCGTTAATGGCTACGCGGTTCTTTGCGTCTTCGTTCGTAAGATTAGAAGAGGATAGAGAAAAACGGAAAACTGTATGTTTTGATATGATGTTAATGAAAAACGGATAAATATCATGCTATGGTATTTACTCGGTTATAATCAGCCATTTCTTGCGAAGATATACGTCTTGGGAAGTTATTTGTTCACACATTAAAGACTACTTAACTGCTCATTAAAATTAATTAAATTAGAATTGCAATTTTTTAAATTAATTAACATTAACAAATTGCAATATTGTTGAAAAAAAACAATTTTTTTCGCGTGTAATATTTTTCATTTTGGAAATATTTTTTATATCAAAAAAAAACACGATCGCGAATTAAAAGATCAAGACGAGAAAATTTCGTCTTGGAAGAGAGTGAAGTTTGCAAAAGATCGCTAAAACGAAGAAAGAGTTTTGTCGAAACTAAGCGACCGGTACCGAGAAAGCAAAACGATCTTTCGCTTCGAAAGACGAAAATTATCTCGCCAAACGGGTAAGCAACTGCTTCCAGGAAAGAACAGGCTTACGTCTCCCGATTTTTCTTCTTCCCTTCTTTTTTTCTCCGTCTTTCTCAAGCCGCGATCTTCCATAAACAGGTTAAAATCGCGACCAGGCAAATTCTTTCTATCAGGCAAACTTTTAGAAATTTCTTTGCCATTTTCTCCACGATTCTCCACAAGGATATCCATATCCATTTGAGACGAAAATTTTTCACAAAAATTGCTTTCGAGAATAAATTTTTTCTCAACAAGTAATTACCAATTTAATGTCCACTGATGAGAAATAATTCTAACGAAGAATAACTCGCGTGAATCTTAACATTGAAACTCGTAGTTTAAGGGTTGATCGTTTCCACTTGGATTCGATTCGGTCGCGTCGTAGGTCTGATCGCTCGAATAGAACGGAGGACCGGATTATCTCTTTAGGACGGATAGGATAAAATACGAGTGGTGCAGCGTGCCGTTAAGTAACGACAGAGATAGGCGTGGCGCCGATCGGAAAATTGAAGGGTGCAGCGATATACGTACCAACATCCATCGAAAACATAATCATCCTCGTGTTTATTCTTCCGTTTCATCATCCACTGTTTGAGAGATGAGAAGTCGGTATGAGAATGTCAGAAAATTTTTCGCCACAGGAGCTAAAGTAGAAATTCATCTCGCCTCAATTCTCTCCTATCTTTACGCTCGTGATACAAGATTGTGGTATAATAGATATGATTAAAGATAATAAACTTATGAGGATTCCTATTTTATATATTCCTGTTATATTTACACCAAATTTCTTCAAATTCTTTCTTCGCTTCATCGCTTTGCTATATTCTATATATTTCGATATATCTCATTTACCTTTTTTTGTTTCGAGAAAAATTTGTAGATTGACTCAATCGGTAACGAAAATACATCAAGAAACATTTTTTATAGCCAGATCAGAATTGGGCACTAACTCGCTGAAAAAGTAAGTGGTTAAAAATTTTTAAGAATAAAGTTACTTTAAGTAATTACTTCTTAAAATAATAATTTATTCCTAGCTATTATAATTAATCCGCTCTTCGTATAACTTCGCTCGATTTGGCGCTACGATTATATTCGACGCTTTGAATAATAAATTATCGAAGTAACTTTATTCTCAACTTCGCCTATTAAAATACAATTTGTGAATAATTATTAATTTATCCGTTACAATCTATCCATCAATGCAAATTCATATCGATCACCAATATCATTTTCTTATCTACACAGTATTTCATCTAAGTATCTCATATTCCCAGATTCTCTTCCAATCCGTCCTCGATTCGAGCCGATCTTCGTCGCCGGTAATCTCGATCGGGCCACAGTTTTTCCGATCCTCGCAGCGATCCTCGCATTTCTCAGAGACAAGGCGAAGCGAGCCTCCGCAGAACGCCTTTCACTCGCGTAGCCGTGATCGCGCGAGAATAAAGCAACCGACACGCATTAAGCATTAGCGCATTTACATATCGACGTTCCACCGCGCACTAAATCACGCTCGATTTGAAAATAATGCGTCCTACGAATTTATAAAGGCGTTTGGGGGGGGGGGGGGTGAGATCTCGTCTACTCGTCCGTGGAATCGACGAGGGCAGGAAGAAGCGACTTCGAAAACGAGCGAAATTCGCGGGAATCTCGATCACCTAGGTGAATTGGCCGGCAAAGGGAACGCTCTCTTCTCTAATCTAATCGTCGTTGGTCCGCGTTTCCTCCTCCTCCTCCTCCTCCTCCTCCTCCTGTGGCCGTCTCGAAACGCGCCTCTCCTCGCCTCGCCTCATCTTATCCCCCCCCCCCTCCGTCTCGCCTCGTCTCCCTGCTCCCCCTTTCGCCGTCTTCCTGGAAACCGGGTCGCCGGTACGCGGTTGTTTCCACGCGTGTAGGTACACGTGTACGCACGTACACGTATGCGTTCGTGGGTGCTCAGGATCAGACCGTAGGTTCTGTAATAGCCCTGTGGGCGAACGAGTCGCGTCGCTGAAAAATAAGAAAATTCGACGAGGATCGCGGCAAACCACCGTCCGGTTCTCGGTGCGCGAGCTCTCTCGCGGGATCGACACGCGAGCCAATCGACACGAACAAAAGCCCGTCGAAGACGAACGAGAACGAAGGTTCTATGATCTTTATTCATCCGGAAACAAGGCGGTGTGTATAGATATACAACACTGTAATATAGGTTTCAATGTTCGGTTATCCGATAATTGGATCGATAATTGGAAAATAATAATATGTGGAAGGGATGGAGCGAAGGGATGAGATTCTGATCGATTATTTTTTGCAAAAATCATTCGTGGCGCGTATCGTTTTATTATGCGTGTATAGTTGTACGAGAGGCGAGGAACAAGCCGGCGACGGACGGAGAGGAGGTGTAACGAGAGAAGAATGGCCGGAGCGAAAAATCGTCGGAGGGAAGAAGGAGAAAATACGAGGCGAGAAAAGAGAAGAAAAGGCGAGAACACGCCGAGACGAGGCTTAACTTACGTCCTCGTGCCTCGACCGTGAAATATCGCGAACCGCGGCGATCGGGCTAAGCGATGTTCCAGCCCTGGATCGCGCGCGATCTAATTTGTTGCGCTTCCTACGTATTTATGGCGAGCCGTTCCTTCTTAAACTTTCCCGATCGCTTCCTACGGGTTCTTTACTTACTACTCGAGTCTCGAATCGTCGACGAGATCGATCTGCGTTCGTCGATCGGATCGAGGACGAAATCGGGAAGGAATTTCCTAAAGGAATAATAACAGTTTAAACTCGGACTCGAAAGTTTCAAAGTCCGAAGTAACGGTGCATGGGTCGCGATAAGGCGCGCACCGGTTGGCGCCACGCCGATAGGGGAACGTCGGGCGCATCCCTTAAATTCCAAGCGATCCAAACGCGCGAGAATCCGAACAATCCCCCTTTCCTTCGTTTAGAACGCGGTTCGCGGCCGGCTGGATTTCCGTCCGGATTATCCTTTTTTCGAATATATATTTCGAAATAACAGAAGAAGAGAGCGTAGACTTTTCTTTTTTCGTCGTGTCGAGGAAGAAGAAATCGTCGATAAACGAAAAATGCGGGTTTGGATCGATGAAAACGTTGCGTTCGATCGGTAAAACGATAAGAGCGTAGTTGAATTCGCAACGCCGATAACGTCGACGTCGACGACGACGACGGCAAAAGTTTCGNTGCTCTTGCAGCCTCGATGCCGATCCTCGCCGTTTCGTGGACCGTTCGTCCTCGTCTCGTATCCTTCCTTTCGTTCCTTGCATCGTTCCGAGTACATTTCTTTCAAGGTTTCGAACTTGTTGCACGGCGATCCGCTAAACCAGCCACTTTGCAAAAGTGTTCGATCAAAAATCAAATATCGTTTCGACTTCTTTTATTCAAGCTTTATATACAAGCTTTTATACATATATATAAATATATATGTATATATGTATATATGCCTATACAAAACAAGTAGGCAGTTTCGTAACGATCTTACAACGCATTGAATCGATTTGAATTATTTCCTATTCGTATTATGCGTATCGTCGAATTTGTGTATTTATATCAACGGACAATGCGCCAACAAATAAATACTATTTCGTTTTATTATTTTTTTTTTTTAGTGTTCAATTATTTATTATTTATCATTTTGTTGTTTTCGTTTCGCGCGTTACTTATCCTTTGCGAGAATTTGCCTCGCTACACACCTACGTGTACTCGTTTCTTTCACAAATAAGCGATGCATCGTATTTTATATATTACACATGTATACTTGTTTGCAAATGTTGCATATGCATCGCGTATATACGTAGGTGTACGCGAAGGAAGGCAACTTTGGTTGATACGTCGTGTATTTACAACGAAATGCGCGTAAAATTTTCGTAGGACTCGGATATAGGGTGAAAACAAAGGTGTAAAGGAGATGAAAGAGTTAATGAATAAAAAGGTCGAGTATCTTGAGAGATCGATGAACAGTGACAAACATTCGAAGAACATGCTTCGTTTTTTCTCTTATAGAGGGCGACATTGTACGATAGAATTGCAACACTATGTCCGTCGGTATAATCGTTTGCAGTCGATAAAACGGAATCGATAAAATAGCGCTTACCTTAGGCGTTGGAAATCAAATCTAATTGACGTAAATTGCAACCAATTCGATTTTAGTAATTATTTTAAAAATAATACAAATAAATAAAAAGAAATCATGGACAGAGAAAGAGGAAGATAGGAGCAGGAACAGTAACAATAATAGCAGTAGCTAGTTGATACCATTTCTCGTTTAGATAATTCGAGATTGTCGGAATAACATTGATTCCCTCTCGATGTGACGAGAAGATATCCAGGTTGAGCGGTGAATTGTCGACGTTCGTAATTAGCTAAGAAATTTTTGTCGGTAAAAATGTCAGTCGATTTGCAGAATGTTTTTTAGTTACCATTCGAGCAAAAATGACGCTCGCATTCCATTGTTGGCGCTAATTTTAACATCGGTACACTCGAAAATATTTTTTTACCGCCATATTTTCTTTCTTTGTCCTCGTTACGTTCTCTCGACATTGATAGCCGTGGTAGTAGTTATAACCGTGAAAATATCGTTATTAGCTTGACTAACGATTGGCTCTAGCGGTGGCACGCTGGAAGATAGAAACGAATTAAAGAATTAGATTGTGAATAACAATGACATCGCGCAATCAAGATCATGAATTAAAATCGAATCGAACATAATAACACACTTACATAAGGGTAGTTTGTCGATTGAGCGCGGCGGTAGTGGGTAAAGCGAGAGGCGAGTGCGCATGACCCGATTCTCCCGTATTCGGTGTACCTACGAGTGGACGCTCGTCTGATCCTTCGTTCCCTCCCAACGCGTTACCGTTTGCTGTCTCATTCTCGCCCCGGTTCCCTGCATTCGTATCTGTACTAGTAGCTGTCTCGCTCTCGGTCTCTTGTCTCATCTCTGCATTGGTCCCTATCCCGCCCCCATTACCACTACCACCACTCCTATACACGTTCAACTGCATCGAATTCACTGGAACGTTAAAAAAAAAACCAACGGTTCGAATCAAACTGATACTACGCTCACGTTAGCTTCTTTCCGTTACATTCTTCTCCCTTCTCACCCCCTTCACGCGATTCACATTTTTTCAATCTGTTTTCACGAACAAACATTTTATCTCGATCATAGATTATCGGCATTTAACGCACGCATGCGCACGAATCATCGACGTTTATTTGGAAGCAGTGCTCGTTCGATGGACTTTGCTCCCAACTCTAATTACAAATTTTGGCTCAAGGTCGTTGATATTCGCGATTCGAATCGTCGATACCATTTCTGACCCTTAATGCGTTTTGCTTAATTTACGAGAAGAACGAGAAAAATAAACTTACGCGTTTTCATTTTTCTTAATCGAGGAGAGAGAGAGAAAAAAAAATAAGAGAATAAAATATACACGAAACTCGAGAAACAATGATTCGTTTAACCCGTAGGTACACCTGTGATCGATCGATTAGAAAGAGCAAAACGATTGATACGATATGATATGGGGGGAAGGGAGGAGGCGAAGGCGAACGAAAAGAAACTAAATGATAAATTGCTCACCGAAAACTCACCGAGTAAATCAGACTTAATCTCGGTCTTGTGCATGCCACTTGGTCCTGCCAAATTTCCACTTATTCCCGAATTATTTTTTGGTTTTCTTTTTCTTGTCTGTATTCCCTCTTTCTTCATGCTGAGCGGCCTGTTCACCTGCATAGAAAAAAAAGAAAAAAAAATTAAACAAAAAGCGCAGTGAGACGATCAATTAATTAAACTCGATGAAACACGATAAATAAAAAAAGAAAGGACATCAGCCATCAGCGTTGTCATATCAGCAATCATTACGAAAAAATTATTGATAATGTTGTTCGAACAATTGGTTTAAGAGATCAGCATCAATTAAGGATGCGTCACAACACAATAAACACGATAAGCATCGAATAAAAATTAAAGTTTCGCATGATATTATTACCGAACAAATTCTAATAAGAAATACGTTGGCACGTCGATAAACAATTACGACAGTTATTCTTTCGATTTCGTAACGCATGCGCAAGAATCAATCGATATCTAAGTCGATGCACCGTAACGGTTCTAAATTATGATGTTTCCAAGATGTGTTTGGAACAGAATTATCACAGAAGAGAGCAATCAAGATTACACGCGAGAAGGATTGCGTAAGAAAGGTAAACGGGATTACAAACAGTGACCGCATTTCGTTTTCGATTTTCGATCGAGATTTTACGTTCGACTGATCGATGCACATGAATTCTCCAAGATAATTTCTGCTTACTAAATTCCTATTTCCAAAAAATTTATTTATTCTTTTATTCGCCAATCAAAAGGATTAGCAATCTATTGTTTTTTGTTGCTTTGAAATTGTAAAGATCATGCATCTGATGGATATCTTCAAGAAAGAACAAAGCATGACGAAGAAAAAACAAAATGTTAATTCCTGATTATTATATTTATCGTCTTATATTTATTTTTATTCACCTATTTATAAATACGTGCATAGAATCGCAAAAAAACATGAATCTTTTTAATTTCTTTTGCAAAGTTATTTAATAGAGACAATTTTGATTCCGAAATTAATTCATTATCTATACGCGAATCAATTTTTGATATAAGTAACGATTCATTTTTGCAAATTGGAAGTGATCGATCACGGCAATTGAACAAACAAAAAATCGCTTCGAGAGCGAGACTCTTAAAAACAATCGATTCGTCGTCTGATGTGAGATCACGAGATGATTCAATGAAATCGCGTTTCGATCAAAAGTATGGTTATCACGAGGCAATGGCGAAACGCACGCACTCCGTGAATTGCCGAAAGTCGTTCTCGTTCCGAATTGTCCGTATCGAGTAAAGCTTTACATATACGATTTACGAATAAACAAACTTACGTTGTGTAGTTTATAGTAGAGACCGCATGCATTACACACTGGCTCGCCATTGTTATTTCGTCGCCACAGGGTCGTATTGCTCGTCCTACAATTCGCGCATTGAACACCGGTTCTTCGTATACCCGCCTGGAAAATGAAAGAGAAATATATGCATTTCGTGTGTAATATTCTCGATCGTATGCGCATCAGTATTGCGCATTCAACGACGCGAATTCACAAACGCGAAAATGGGAGCGTTCGAGACGTAGAAACTAGAGTAAACAACAATCGCAGTAAGTCTCGACGCGATTGTTTGCTTGGTAACAGATAACGTTGATTCTTTTTTCTATTTTTTCGCGGACAACGCTTGTCAAGAAATGGGAAGAAGAAAGAACAGAAGAAAAAGTAATGAGAAAAAAGAGAGAGCGAGAGAGAGAGACGAAAATGTAGAAGGTTAAAAAAAAGGATGAAGAAAGAGAGATGGGAGATTGAGTGAAAAATTCAGGTGAAAAGAAAAAGAATAAGACGTGCTCGAGAAAAATATAAAAAATGAAATTTACCGTAGTGACAGCTTGCTTCGGTTTGCCGCATTTAATGGATGATCTATTTATACCGTTTATCTTGTTTGTTGTATAGGCACAATTTTGACACAAGTAANTTTCCAGCTTCGTCCCTCCTTAATATAGTAGTCAAAATTGTGCAATTAGAACACTCTTTAGGAT